TGAAAACCAACTCCAAAAAATTTGGAGGTAAGGCTAGGGCAACTTTTTGCTCCTTGTCATAATAGAGTTGGTAAGATCTTGCTCTTCTTAATGTGCCACAAAGTTCCAAGCTGGACCACTATGTTCATGACATTATACAGACTGGAACTGATGAGCAGGAATTAGTAAGCATCCAAGATACTTCCATAAGATAAATGCTCAAAGATAGCAAATAAACTCCATCAAAGTTCAGCGACTTTCAGCATTTTTGAAATGGTATGGGCTCAGCAGCCTGGCTATGCTGAAACAGATCTGTCCCTATATTTGCCATTGTGAAAAATAAGGCATAACACTTGGTGACATCTTTGAGTTTGGGAAGCAGCGGAGACCACATTTGTGTATTCTGCATTAATGCAGGTATTAAGTATGCTACACGGTTGCCAGTTTTGAGAGAAGCCTGGAAAAAAAGGATCTGTATCATTTCCCTGTCATGATGGAAGCCCTCTGTCCTCTTGACTCTAAGGTCCAGCACATGCAAGGATTTCTGGAAATGTCTGTGGCAAGTAGAGATGCTGCATGACATTTCTGTCAGTAGAAGTCTCAGAACACAAATCCCCAGCTATTGGCAGACAAAGAGTGTCTGCCAATAACTACTCTCCACTTAAAAAGCAGCTCCTACCTTGCTACTGGATGTTCATTAAGACTGAGTCATCAGCAACACCACTAACAACAGGTGTTGGCGAGGATGCGGGGGAAAAGGAACCCTCTTACACTGTTGGTGGGAATGTAGACTAGTACAACCACTCTGGAAAAATATTTGGAGGCTACTTAAAAAGCTAGACATTGATGTACCATTTGATCCAGCAATACCACTCTTGGGGATATACCCAAAAGACTGTGACACAGGTTACTTCAGAGGCACCTGCACACCCATGTTTATTGCGGCACTATTCACAATAACCAAGTTATGGAAACAGCCAAGATGCCCCACCACTGATGAATGGATTAAGAAAATGTGGTATCTATACACAATGGAATTTTATGCAGCCATGAAGAAGAATGAAATGTTATGATTTGCTGGTAAATGGATGGAATTGGAGAACATCATTCTGAGTGAGGTTAGCCTGGCCCAAAAGACCAAAAATCGTATGTTCTCCCTCATATGTGGACATTAGATCAAGGGCAAACACAACAATGGGATTGGACTTTGAGCACATGATAAAAGCGAGAGCACACAAGGGAGGGGTGAGGATAGGTAAGACACCTAAAAAACTAGCTAGCATTTGTTGCCCTTAACTCAGAGAAACTAAAGCAGATACCTTAAAAGCAACTGAGGCCAATAGGAAAAGGGGACCAGGACTAGAGAAAAGGTGAGATCAAAAAGAATTAACCTAGAAGGTAACACCCACGCACAGGAAATCAATGTGAGTCAATGCCCTGTATAGCTATCCTTATCTCAACCAGCAAAAACCCTTGTTCCTTCCTATTATTGCTTATACTCTCTCTACAACAAAATTAGAAATAAGGGCAAAATAGTTTCTGCTGGGTATTGAGGGGGTGGTGGGGAGAGGGAGGGGGCGGAGTGGGTGGTAAGGGAGGGGGTGGGGGCAGGGGGGAAAAATGACTCAAGCTTTGTATGCACATATGAATAATAAAAGGAAAAAAAACAAAAAGACTGAGTACCACAATATAGGACTCCAAATAAGTAAATGGTTCAAAAGTACGCATCATGGAGGCATTATTTGAATTAACATATGACAGAATAAGAGAACACAACACCATTTCATTGTTCAATGCAAGTGGGACCAGACAGTTAAGGAAAGAAAACTTTAATGTATGAGCAAGTAACTTAGGTGTCTACAATAACTCTGACATCACAATCTGCCCCCTTCAACCCACATCTATCACTTTATGAACTGTTCTTAATGAATGGTTAATGGGTTAGTTTGTAAATGAATTGCATGGTATTTGGTACTAGCTGTGACTGCTGTGTTTTTAGATCCATTTAAAAGGACTAGCCTCAAAAGAGAGGCGAAAGAATATCTACTAGAAGCCAGGATTACAGCTAGTATGTTTGATTGTACACTCTGGAAGAAGAGATAGCTGAGGTAATGATAAATGGTATGACTATATGCTCATGGACTTCAAAGGTTTGAGACAGAGGTCTAGAGAAGGGTTATGTAAATGTACCTTTTAGAATTGGAAAAATATGATAATGTGATGCCCTATGTTAATTCCACCTTGAGAACATCTACCGTGGAGGAGACTCTTAGTAATCTGGACAAAGTAAGGTATCTTATGAATTTCAGTTAAAATCTTTACCTTCCCATCCTAGTATTTCCTCAATGGGCCATATACAAAGTAATAAGAGGAGCAAGGATAGAAACTACATATGAATTCAAATACATGCCTCCCCCCCAACACACACCTTTACAGCCGATTTAACTACCACCAATGCTGAGAGTATGGCACCATTCCCCAGGTAGATCAGCTAGTCACCAGTGCCAGGAAGATTATACTAGATTTCTTCTAGTGAGGAGGCAGAAATTTGTCCTCAGGAATTGATAGGTATTTAGGCTATGGATTTCCCCTCCTTCCCCTTCAATACTCTTTCTGCAAGCTCCTTCATGTGTGGATTAACATCATGCCTAATCAATTACCATGGTATTCCTTGCAACACCTTTCAACCAGGAAATTCATTTCAATGACAAAGAAAATACAATGGACCAAGACTCTAGAAATCTCCTGTCATACCTCATGCTCTACCATCTGGAATCAGCTGGCTGATGGAGTGGTGAAATGGCTTACTACTGGGTGCTTCATGTATGGTTACAGCTAGGAGAGGTTTGGGTGTATTCTACAGGGTATGATATAGACCCCAAAGTCATTTCTCCCATAGCCAGAATGCATGAGCCAGAGAACAGAGAAGTGGCTATTCTAATATATAAAGTAATCTTTTAATGGACTTTTTTCCTCTCTGTCTTAAAAACTTGGGATTGAAGCTTCTGGAGATCTCAGTACTCAAGGAAGCATGTTTCACTGAGGTTCAAAGTTCTGCTACATTGAAAGCTGTGAATATGTTTTGGTTACTTACGGCATCTCAAGCTGCTGAAAAAAGGGAGAAAAGTGGGCCACTGGTTGGTAGCAAATTGATTTTAGGTTATTGCTATAGAGGTCAAAGAGAGCTCTATTTGAAATTTGGGGGATTTACCAAGGCATCTCTTAAAAAAAATTCTGTAATTCTGGTTATTAAAAAACTGCAAGAAAGAAGGGAGCACCAAAGACTCAGAACTTATAGGAATGTATTATGTAGGAATTAAGGCTTTGATTAATGAACCTTGTCCAGCCCAGAAGTTAAAAGAGAGTAAGAAAAGAGGAAGATGGAAGTGGTGGAAAGGAGAAATCTATAATGATCAATTTCAAACTTTCTGACCAATTAGAGAAGCTTAGGCTTCAGCAGCTGTGTATTATGTGCTAGTTATTATGAATAACATTGAAGGTGGCTAATATTTTATATTCAGTTGGAAGTAGGATAAAATTGATATCACTCCTGATGATATAGTAGCTGGGTGCTTCTCCCTGATAGTCACTCCATTAAACTCCCTTACTCATACTACGTTGAGTATGCTGTTGTTGATAGCATATCAACATATGACTCGGTATACTAAATTGCAAAATCAGCACAATGGCAGTTATAAGAACCATGTCTTTATTCATGAAAATAGATTAAAATTATGTTTTAACACCCCAGTGTTAAAAGCAACATAATTTTGTAAAGAATGAAAGATATTTAATGTTATCTATTGTAGAAAGTTGAGGCAAAAGAATATGTTTATGAAAATCTGTATGTTATGTAATCCTTGGTCAATTTGGTAATGTTTTAATAAGCCAGATCACATAGCTGCTAAAGGAAATACCCATCACATCTTAAAATATCTTTCAATATGGAGTATTTGTCATAATAAAATAACACTTTAGGATATAATTTTCATAGCATAATACTCTTGAGTCAGGGAGGAAAGTAAAATGTATACCTAGAATATTTTAATGTTTGCATTAATATCATCTTTATAACTACCCGAATTTATTAATTAATGTTTAAAATAATCTTACATAATTCACATTCATGTTAAAAATTAAGTTCAGCCTTAAGGATAGCAGTAAAGATAATACAAGCATTCCCTCATAATCTTTAGTACTCTCTAATACAATTTGTCAGTGTAGATGAAAATATCACTTTCCTCATATCTGTATATTGAAATTAAAATGTAATGTGTCATTATAGACAAAAAGAGCATATAAAACTTGGAGGTACTCCCATTAATTTTCCACCTTTAACTTCTTATTCAAGCTAAAAGTCAAATGAGATTCATTCAGATGTCTGATCATTTTTTTCTCTTTTATATACTTATATTCTAGCATTTTAAAAATATCAAACCCTCTAGGTTAATAAATCATTTATAAAGCAGAGAAAAGTTTCAGATAGTGTCCAACAAATATAACTTGAGAGCTAAACAAGTTAAAATAAAATGTAAATTATTTTTACAGCCAATTTTTTAATGAGTATAATATTTTCTAGTTTAAAAATAACAATATTTGCTTTCCCATTGAAGTCTGAGCCTGAGTACATTATAAGCCAAAAATATCAGCACTTTCATCTCCTCTGTAGTAATTTCAGAATATAATTGTGGTATTTCAGTAGATCTTCAATTATCCTGGATTAACCATAATTATTACATTAATAAGTATAAAATTAAAAAATCACAGAAAATTTATATGACAGCTACTTATCCTGAAATAAGACACTCATTAGTTGACAGTCCTCCTTTGTGCCAATTCTATTAATCTAAAAGCAAGAAAGGCCATATGCATGCTGCAAGAACTATCAGTTAATATTCCTAAATTTCTGTCTAAGTTGTTAGCAGCTCCACACCAATCTGTATTCCACTTAGTACAATTGTGCAGCACTTTCTTGGAATCTCATATTTTAGCTTTATTCTCAAAGACTTGGTGACACTTACCAGAGTGGGTCCTGAGGTGTCCTGTGAGGGCGTCCCTTCTTCTACAAGCATAGCTACAGAAAGGACATTTGAACGGCTTTTCTCCAGAGTGTAACTTTATATGCCTCAGAAGATTGCCCTTCTGAGTAAAAGAAGCTCCACACTGGTTGCAGTGGAAGGGGCGTTCACCTGCAGACAAAAGTGGGAAAAATGAAGTAAGTTATGTGCCAGTGACTGACTTGCCATCCACTGTTAGGCAATTCTCTACGTTCCTGATATTCATTTCTCCTCATAAGTCTTCTAAATATTTATCTCCTCCTACAATTGCTTCTCTAACACAACAGCCTTTAGCATTAGGTCAAGAAGTCAATTCATTTCATATAAATTTGGCAAGATTCCTGTCACTGATTCAAAAGAATAACAATAATAGTATGTACCAGAGGTTGAACAACTAACTAGGTGCCATACAACACTTCACTACCTGACTGGTTGCTTTACATGCTTTAACTCTTACAATAATATTAATAATTAGGTATTAATTTAAATTTATAAAAGAAGAAACTGAAGTTCACATATCAAAGTATCTGATAATAGTCACAGAGCTAATAAGAACTCATTCAGAGAAGTGAACGTTGAAAGTGTGAATACAAAATTTTGTTCTATTTATTTTACCATGCTATCTAACATTCACAGATATTTTCAGTTGGAAGTGATTATTAGTCTAACTCCTTCATTCAGCTGATAAAGAAAAGGGAATAAAACAGGCATGATACATGAATCAGCTTACAAAGCTCAATACCACTAGATTCTCAAATACTGCCCAAGTCTCTTGATTCTTCTGGTAACTAACAATGAAACTTTTGGCAAACCTGACATAGTGGGGAAAACCCAAAGGAAATTATTCAGCCAGATATTTCTTATATATTCTTTATTTTATAATAATCCTTTTTGACAGGAGTCTTTTTTCACCTGTCTCCTATTATTGGTACTGCTATAAAATTGTTTAAGCCTCATCAATTTAGTCTATTGTCATCAATTTGCCATCACTAAAGTCATCAAACCTGAAAACACATAGGTAATGAAACAATAAAACTGGCAACTAGGATCAAACTGGTAACATTATCAAACCATGAAGAAAATACTCTTACATTAAGTTTGGATATCTCTTAAGGATAGACATGAAATAAATGATAAACTAACATACAAACAAATCATAAAAGTGTGTCATTCTATTGCCTTTGGAAAGTATTACTGTAGCATGTGACTTAGATTTTCCTTAAGCCTCCTGTAAGCTTTCAATTCAAAACAAATTTTAAATCCATAATTTAGGGTAGTTATTTCAAAATTCAAAATAATGCTAGTCTAAAAAAACAATAATAAGGGGAATCTTTAAAAAAAAAATTGTAAATTCACCTAACCCCATTTTATGAAACTAATGACAGGGCAATTTAGTTTTTACATTTACAAAATACTACAGATATCTTTGCTTTTTTTTTTTTTTACTAAGAACTACTGAATTTATATAATTAAAGGCGGCAGGAGAAATGTAAAAGAACATCTGGAAGTACTGCCATGCTGCTTAGTTTTCATGCCATGGTATAAGGCATGCTTTGGAGGCCCTTGTAAGCTCTGTGGCCATAAAATGTAAGGATAAGAGTAACCAGCCAGACTCTCTTGATAAGAGAAAAGGCCCTGTCAACAATGCATGTGAATTGCACCAGGCAAGGCTTTGAGAAAGTGATATGAGCTATGATTAAGTCTTGATTGATGCTTTTCACTTTTAGGTACCAATTACATGGCTTTCCTTATTTTTGGTTGAAATCTGCTTACCTACTCATAATGTCTTGATTATATGAAATTTATCATTTAAAGAACACAGTTGTTTTGTTATATTCAACACTAAAGTTAAGTGGAATTACAGGGATACCCTCAATAAAATCTCTATTGGAGACAGGGATGAAAGAAGACAACTGAAGAGTTTTTTTTTTTTTTTTTAAGTATGAATAGCTATATTCAGGAATACTCCAAATACAGTAGACATGTCCATATCTATTTAATAACAAATGAAAAGTAAGTGAATTAACTTGTTTTAGGGGAAAATGGATTAGGAATCTTTTTATGCAATGTTGTGGGGTATTTTCTGGCCTAGACATTATGAAGATATAGCTGAAATTGTTTGCTAATTAAGTAAAAGGTTAGCTACCTTTGTTTATGCAAAAGGCACACACATAAAAAACTATTTTGTCTGCAAAACTTTAAACAATGCATTTCAATTATTTTAATAATGTCTTTTTAAACTAAATAGAGTAAATCAGTTGGCCCTTTTGAGTCAGTTTAAACTTTGCATAAAGATGTTCTTCATATACAATTCAAAGCAAATTTTAAGAGAACCTCAAAATTTATTACCTATACTAATAATATTAAGGAGAATCCAACTCAAAACCTTTAAGTAAGCTGCTGTATATGTGATGGTTAATTTTCCCACTGGTGGACACAAAAGTCTGGACTAACAATGCCAGGAGAATAAATAAGACATGGTCACAGTATTTGCCATGTACATTCTGATCGTGATTTTTTAAAACAAAGTCTACCAATCTATTGGTCTATTTTTAGTTATTAACTAGACAAATTTATATATAATTTATATTATGGAAGAAATCATATTTCAATAGTTTACAAACTTTCATAAATTTATTTTTAAATCTGGTTTTAAACACCCACTTACAAAGCAAGTGTACATCATAAATTTGTTTTTGTGAATCAAAGACAGAAGGTGTTCCTGTGTTGGATGAACAACCACCTACAACTATGCAGAATCCTAAGCACTTATTAAGAGGGCCTTGGATTAAGAAAATGGCTCCACAACACTGCAATGTACAAAGGGTACTAAAACCTTAGTTACAATGATGGGAGTACTCTATCCAAAACAGGAGCAAAAATAAGGGCTTTCTGTATTTATTATACTCTCACCCATTCATGTTCATGCATGAATTGATTTACTACCCCTGTGTTCCCAGTGAAGAGTACCTGGAGCATCCAATGACAATATTACCTGATGACTTACTAAAGTAGCAATGCCAAAGAAATACCACTAAGCCATTAATAAGATACTGGAATTGGCACTTTAGTAGAGTATGAAAGAGAAAGAAGTGAATTAGATCTGATACTCCATGTCATTTTAATAAACAGGTTGGTTGTGTACTTTGTTTTCATTGTCAATTCTGCATTAGTCTATGAGCTAAAACACTCCAAAATGCCTCCCAAAGGCTTTATAAAGATTAAAGAAAGTGCCCTTTATATTAGCTATAAAATAATTTGTTAAGAGTGAAAAGTTCTAAAATAAAGACAGTAGTTCATGATATTATGGAGAAAACGTTTGATAAGACTAGATTCTGACTACTTTCTCAAACTTAATGAAAGAAACACAAATGGCTTTCTAAGTTCCAAAACAGTACTAAACTGAGTTGAAAATATCAGGACCCACTCAGATATGTATGTAACATGGGTCATGAAAAATACATATTAAAAGAACGAATTTAAGATAACACATCCAAGATTTCAGTCAACAAAGCATAACAGCTATCCCAAGCTCATCCATGAATGGCTATTAACGTCAATAAAAATCTCCTACATCTTCAGAAGGTATAATAACTTGCACAATCGTCCAATAAACATTTACTAAGGAAGTCCACAGTGTTGCAAGTGTACTTTTAATGATTGTTTTAATTCATTGTCTTTGCATATACTAGTTTGTCATATTCTTAAGACTTATAGAAATCCAAGTAACTATTTATGAACAGGTTTCATGCCAATTAGATCATTTACAGTATTAAAATAATTTGACTCCACTACAGTAGTAAATATGGATAGTAGACTAGGCATGTAATTACTCTATTTGCAAACTAACAATCCTCATGAATATCACTATAGACAGTGAAATACTGATTGACATAATTTTTCAAGAAAATTTACTCTGGTTCTTTGAATTTTCTTTACTAAGGACAGAAAAGATTTAATAAAATTCTTTCACAAATTGTTTTTAATATACACTTCAGCCTTAAAATTAACACTGTGCAATTCAACTGAAAAGTAATTGTATGTATTTTTAGTATTTTACTGGAAAGTTTCACATTTGAATGAGTGTTATCTTCCTCAATATACTCACTCTGACACAATATAACTGTGGGACTCATTTTATGAATCACAGTTTGAATTACTTCATGAACATGAACAAAAAGGAGATTCATAATTTTGTAGTCTTCCCCTTTTGTTCTTATAAAATAGATAACAAGGCTTGATTGTTCCACTTTTCCTAAGACATTTAAAAAAATAAGGAAAAAAATTCACAGTAATATAAAAATTTTAGAACATGTTATTACTTTTAAAAAAATTCAAAATAGAACCAAAAGCAAAAATGTAACAGATTGTATGGTTAGAAGATGTGTATATACTAGAAAGTTAATGATTTTGGTTATGATCATACCGATTTTAGTGTATGATTATTCACTGTAATTAAAAAAAAATAAGCCTTAGTACAGTCATACCTCATAACAAGTTGTTGTATACTGATACACCAAGCATGATACACTCAAGGAAACCCAGTCTGGGCATCAAGATACCTTACTTCTGGCTTCAGCAATGCATTTACCCATATAAAGTACAATGGAAAAATCTTTCTTCATGTGTGATGTGAGAGGTTTGAATAAAAAACACATTGGTGTAACTTATATATCTCATGTTTTTAGGGTGAAATTATTAAATTGATTATTCAGAAGTAAAAAATTTTAAATAAATTTCTTTATTGTAATCTGTCACTTTCCAAGGTGTTACATTTTAAAATCCTGAGATACTATTGATTAATATGTTGCTGTAAAATGCTACTTTATATTATAGTGAAAGCTACAAGGCCTTCAAACCAATCTTTTAATATAAACCTTAAATTTGTTTTCAAGAGTCAACTATCTTCCTATAATCTTGTTGTTGCTTTAAAAAACAACAACAACTGGCAAAGGATTTGAAGAGATTTAAAGAAGTCCTTCTCATTTGGCTGGATTTCGTTCTCAAAAACCCAACAGTATATATGAAATTAGAGAGCCTTTTCCTCATCCAATTCTATGATTGTACATGGTTACCTACACACCTGCCACCCTCCATCATATTTGATCCTAGGTATCTCCTTGTGGGAATTATAAACAAAAATTATAGGAGATGGTGGCATTCTAAACCAGGGAAACTACTTGCCTACTACAGAGACCTGAGGTAGGCAAAGACCCACTGGAAATTAAATTTCAAGGATTCAACTAGATAAACTGAAAATGATTTACCCTGTATAAATGTGTGAGTGCCATTTTGTAGTATAAAATCTTAGGTAGCAAACTGTATTACCTGCCCATGGGCAGGGTAAAATATGTACAGAAATATAAAAAATTAAATTACCCAATGAAATTCTCCTATACCTTTTGAACCCTTATCATATTATTGCTATATTAAGAACTGTGGAAACTGAATCCCAAACTTCTTTTCTGATATGCTATTCAGATTTGAAGGCTTGAAGTCAAGACCCAGGCTACTCTCTGCTTTTCAGCAATCCAATACTAGCAGAATTCTGAAAAGGTAGTTTCACCATTGCCACCCCTGAATAAAAAGGAAAGAGAATAGATGTCAGGTAATATCAACACCAGATGTCACAGGCAGTCATCAGGTTATTCTTTCAGCTGCTTACCAGTGTGACTCCTTTTATGTACCATAAGCACATTGGGCCCAATGCAAACCATGCCACAGACGTCACATTTCAGTTTACCATTCGGAAGCCGGATTCCTCCCTCGCCTTGAAGCTCCTGGGCTTTCCTGTTGTCCGCCACCTCACTGCTCTCAATTAGGGGCTCTTCTAGGCTGCTCCCCTCATCATGACCCCTGATCTCATCTTCACGGCTCAGGGGTTTCCTGTCACACTCTTCATCACTCTGCATTTCTAGCTTTACTGAATTTGCTGTAATTTAAAAAGAAGAAATTTTAAATACATGCCTACATCGCCTTCCTACCCACTGTCATTCTGTGAAATGGATGCAAATGATACATTAAGTAGGATACTGTTCATCAAAGGCCGTGTTGATACATGCTGTGTTCTATATTTTAGTGAAGCCTTGGTGTGGGAGTGAAGCTGTATTAGCAAAGCTTTCAGTAAACAGACCGAGCCTGTATTTTTATACATACATGATCATTTCTTTACCTCAGTTATTTCTGCTTTTTAAGCAAGTCATTAAATAATTATCATATTGGTTGTTGAGTCTGTCACTAAGGCTAAGAGTGAGATACATTAATGGAAGACATAAGGTTAAACATTGCTTAACCTACAAGCTATGCCCCTTCTTAATTTAACAATCATCATTATTTGTTTCATATTCTCTGCTTCACAACAGAATACTTGTGTAAACTTGTTTCTGAACAGAGCAAGAGAAACAAATCAAGATCTTAATCCCCCAAAAGTCTTTCACATATGAAGGCACACTCTCAAGGCAAATGTCTTAAAATCAGACTAAACACAAATATTCAGTTAAGAGCTGAATAAATATGGAACAAAGTGCACAGATCTCTCACACTCTGAAATTCCTCTACCTTTTTGTCCTGCACAGAAAAAAAAATTTCCTCTGTGAAACATATTATTCTGTAAACCAAAGAATTCTAACTCTAATCTGTGTACACGAAAAGCAGCTAGTGACAGGAATGGCATAGCAAGCAAGTACACACTTGTGACTTTGGAAATTTAATGCCTGCTGTTGGCTGTTTTTGGATCTTCCCACAGAAAAATTGGAATTCTGCTAGCACAGCCCTCATTCTGGATTGCTGACAGAGTCCTTTCATGGAGCAGAAGAAAGCTTTAAATTAATTTCAGATTTTTTATCCAGTGATCTTAAATTTTTCTTAAGAAGTCAGAACAAATTATTTGCACCTATTTGAATAGACGACCATTCTCATAAAAAGGAAGTTCTTTTCACTATAATTATTTTCTTGGAGAAACCACAAATTCTGTGACTTGCTAGACTACTTATCAGGACAGACAGTACTATCAAAACGGCTCTTTTCTTGTTCCTCTCCTCAGAGCTCCCCTAGTAAGTAAACGAAGTGAGGTGAAAGAGTACTAGCAGTGTGATCTTGAGCTAATTATTTAACCACTGATTCTTATGTCTGTCCTTTGCAAATTGGAGATGAATTTAGATTTCTAAGTGAAGTTTGAGCAGAACAATTTATTTAGTAAGTGAGGATCCTTAAATTCTTCAGCATCAAGAACCTAAGTTCTCTATTGCCTCCTAGGGTTAATGGTACCCATTTCTAGGGTTAATGAGAACATTAAATGAGCAAATATGGTAAACATGCTTAGCTATTGTTTTTCTCTGAATATATAGTACTATATTTATTTCATAAGATTTCTGTGAAGATTAGTCAACATAGTATACACACTACTCTACAATCTACAAAGGGATACAGATTCATGCTCAATCCATCTCTGTAACAGAGTGTTACTACATTGAGTTTGACATTATTTAGGAGTTGATATGGCCTCACTGGCTTTAGAGAAGACTAGAGGCAACATTTTATACAACTTTATATCCCTAGCAAAAAAGTCTCACAGACTGTGGTTATAGAAGATGTTGAAGCAATATTCATTGACAAGCAAAGTCAATGAATAAACTTATTACTAAATTTATTAAGAACTTTATTCTTTTAAACATATTTCATATCTTTAAAGAATTCATAACATAGTAAAGAAAAATGAAACAATATAAAGACTAAAAGATGAAAATTATGTTGTATTCTAGTTAAGGTACACAATCCCTCAGTCCCTGTCTCAAAAGATACCATGACTGTAATTTTCATATTTAGAAGTCTGTCTGAATCAATTTTTAACTATAATTTGTTCATCTAGACTATCATTAGAAATCTAACATTATTTCTTCTTTGTAGCTATTACAGACATTACTTTACAATACCACATAGAACTGTCAATGTGAAAACTAGTATTTTACTATAGGTTTTAATGTGCATTTAAAAGTTACGAATAAAGAGCTGGTCAAGTGACCCAAGTGGTAGAGTGCCTGCCTAGCAAGCACAATACCCTGGGTTCAACACCAGTACTGCAAAAAAAATACTTAAAGTTGATGAGTGAAGTTAGCCATCTTTTTTGCACATTTATGTATCTTTATTTTTTTCTGAAAACTTTACCATAGTTGTTTGCTCATTTTTCTACTAGGTTGTCAGTCTTTTCTCACTGAATTTAAATGTTCTTTATGTGCAAGTTGACCATTCCTTATTCTGGAAGTTCAAAAACCAAGATGCTCCAAAATCCAAAATGTTTTGAGCACTGGTGGGATACCACAAACAGAATATTCCAGACCTGACCTTGTGTGACAGGCTGCAGTCAGAATGCAGATGCACTACAAATATTGTACGATATTACTGTCAGGCTATGTTTATAAGTTGTATATGAAACATATTTAAATTTCTTCTTTAGACTACAGTTAACATCTCCAAGATTTCCTTATCATATGTAAGCACTGAAAAATATCTGAAAAAGTTTAAAATTAGGAATACTTCTTATTCTAGGCATTTCCAGTAAGAGATATTCCACCTGTACTAAGAAACATAGCCCTGTGTTGATGATGTATTTTGCAAATATTCTGGTTTATCTTTCCCGTCATATGTACCACTATCATACGTTGAATTTTTCAATTTTTCAATTATGACTTCTGGGTTTATATCCTGCTTTTAGAAGTTTTCTAATACTCCTAGAAGATTTTCCATATTTTCTTTTCTGGTAAGGAAGACTTTTCTAATCAATGTAAAATGCTACTGGTCTAGGTAGTCCCATATTTCATCCACAATTGTAATTTAAAAGAAAATTTTACTGCTGAGTGTGATGGCACATACTTGTAATCTCAGCTCCTTGAGAGGTGGGGATAGGGAGGATTGTGATTTGAAACCAATCTACACAAAAAGTTAATGAGACCCTATTGGAAAAATAACTAAAGCAAAGAAGGGCTGGGGTTCTGGCTCAAATGGTACATCTGCTTGCCTAGCAAGCACAAGGCCCTGAGTTCAAACCCTCCCACCACTACCACCAAAAAAATAAAAATAAAAGGTGTAAGGCAGAGCACCTAATATTTTAATGATTTAATGATTAAATTCAGGAGCTTGGTAAACTTAACTATACCTTAGATTAAAATTTACATTAATAAAAGGGTTATATTTTTACTATTTGTAGCCATGATATACACAACTATTACAACTATTAATCTTTATACATAGCACTCAAAATAGTTTAAAATCTTTGAAAATAGATTTCTAATCTTCATTATATGGATTTTAAAAATTTTGTTAGAAAAAGACATTTTCACAAATGGGCTAATTTCATCCTCTAGTTTAAGTGAAATGAAATCTTGCTGTTGGAAATCTCAACATGAATAATTTTTCAAGACAGTTTCTCTAGTATGAAACAAAGGATGTGGAACTCGAGCACATCTGTGGGGGTTGCACACATTAATATGTACTGACAAGCAATAATAACTTAACAAAAATAACGTTTTGTCAGAACAAATTATTAGCAATGAAAAGGAACTGTAAAACAATTTCAGTTAATTCACCAATTTTCTTTTTGTTATCCAGTATTGTACCTACAATAATTACAATATACAAATACTTAAATTTTTTGACAAAAGTGTTCAATATAGGTATCTCTAGTTCTATTAACTTTAAGGGATATGGTTGATATTTAAAACAAATCAAATTTTAAGGCATTAATAATCAAGAAAATGTTATTTTGTGTATGGGCAATCAATAACTGACAGTGAAGATGTCTTTTATATTTTCATTATAGCAGCACACATCTATTTATAATTTTCTTTTTGAGGTACTTGGGGTTGAACTCAGGGTCCATGTTTGCTAGACAAGTGCTCTACCAGTTGAGCTATGTCCCCAGCCCTTTTTGCTGTAGTTATTTTTTTAATAGGGTCTCGTATTTATGCCTGGGCTGGCCTGGACTGCATCCTCTTATGTATGATTCCCACATAGCAGAGATGACAGGCATGTGCCACTACATCCAGTTGACTGAGATGGAGTCTCACAAACATTATGCCCAGGCTGGTCTTGAATCTTGATCTTCTTGATCTCAGCCTTCTGAGTAGTGAGGATTGCAGGTTGAGCCGCCATGCTGTGCTTAGAATTTACAGCTTATTATTATTGACATTTTTTAGTAGACTCTAATATCTGTGTGTACAATGAAAGGATAATGATAACTAACAGGAGAGCTTTTATGATCAAGTTTATGTAGAAAAGGCTTGAACATGTTTCAGGATAAAAAGTTCCACATGTATTTTTGTGAAAGTAGCATCACGATGCAAACATCCTATGAATACAAGTTCCCTCCTTCTCTATGGTTTCAAAATACTACTCATAAACATTAAAATTTGAAATTATAGATGCCATAAGAACAGATTATCAGCTCCATTTACTTCTTGGCAGAGATGCCAAGAAGTGAAGAGATTTATATAGGAGCACTTTTTAAAAATGACTTCTGGCCCAAACAATTTGCAACCATAAAAGTTTTTTCAGTGACCATACTGAGCTCTCCACCCTTAAAAGCTTCAGAATTATCACTGTTTCTAGTTGCACTGCACTTGCCTTTCATTCATTAATGCAATATTGAAGAGGTGATTTACACAGGTAAACAGATACAAATTAGTATAAAATGGTAGAATTTAAAACCAAAAATAGGGAAAATTACATTATTTGTGAAGCTGTTACGAAGTTAATTCAATTCAATCCATGTCATAATAGCAATTTTCTTTGCCATCACTATTACTCTAAAAAAAACCTGAAAACATGATGGATGACATGCAAGAATGAAATGGAAAATAAAACGCACTATGCTATTATAAACACACTCAAAGAATTCATCCTCCTCTGCAAGTAGGAAACAAAACTGAATTCTCTTTA